TCCCTATCCACGACGGCGGATTCCAATTATGGGTTCTACGATCTGTCCAATATCAACTTAATCGGACTTTGCAGGGGAGACCAAAAGGAGGACGCTTGCAGAAGTTGCCTGAACGACGCCATCTCCCAACTCGAGCAGCGATGTCCCAAATACAAAGAGGCAAACGGATGGTCAGAATTCCGTATGTTACGCTACTCAAGTCAACAAATCTATGGATCCATGGAATCCGAACCTTATGGCGTTTTGTATAATAATATCAACGCATCGGATATTGACGGGTTCAATCGGACGTTGGGACCCTTGTTGACTAACTTGAGCAGCCGTGCGGCTGCCGGAGGACCTCTTTTCAAATATGCGGCAGGTAACACGACCGGTCCGGGTTTCTTTTTGACAATTTACGCTCTCACGCAGTGCACTCCCGAGCTATCGCAGAAGGATTGCAGCGATTGTCTAACAATGGCAATCGGAAAGATCGATTCTGGCTGCTATAGGAAGATCGGATACCGACTTCTACAAGCCGATTCTAATTTGAGATATGGGACCAGCCCATTTTTTGCAGCAGTAAAAGACATTCCTCAGCCGCCGCCGCCGCCGGATTGTCTAACAATGGCAATCGGAAAGATCGATTCTGGCTGCTATGGGGAGATCCGTTACCAACTTCTACAAGAAAAATCTAATTTGAGATATGGGACCATCCCATTTTTTGCAGCAGTAAAAGACATTCCTCAGCCGCCGCCGCCGCCGCCGCCGTCGTCTAGGTTGCCTCGGCGGCTGGCATCTTTACCTTCTCCACCGGAAGGTAAAGTGTGCTTCTTTTCTGTTCGGGTAATTGTACTATTAGATAATTAGATTATATATAATGCAAGATGTGAGTGGAAACTTTTGGGTTGTGCAGGAAATGGAAATGGAAATAGGAGCAACAAAACTCGAATAATCATCATTATCGTCGTTGCTTCGGTTGTCGGCATTCTGTTACTTGTCCTCTGCATTTGGATCTGTTTAAAACTCAGAAATCCAAGGGAAATTGTCGAAAGTAAGTAATACCAGTATTTTCGAAATGCACTCCTCTTGCTGGAGAATGCCTATATTCTTACTCCCATTCCATGTATTGCTTTTGGCAACTGCAGAAGGAGATGAAATGATCAAGGCCGAGTCTTTGCAATATGACTTAGCCACTATTCGGGCCGCAACTAATAACTTCTGTGATGAAAATAAACTTGGACAAGGAGGATTCGGAGCGGTTTTCAAGGTAATGATGTTATGAATCAGAAGAGAACATTAATTATAGTACATCTTGGTGTATTGAATTAGCTTGAAATTTGGTATTCATTGAACTTACATTTAGTTAATACCACTCTGTTTTATATATAGGGCAAGCTTCCAGAAGGACAAGAAGTAGCCGTGAAAAGGTTATCTAGTGCTTCTAGACAAGGAGACTTAGAATTCAAGAATGAGGTCCTTTTGGTGCCCAAACTTCAACATCGGAATTTGATCAAACTCCTTGGCTTCTGCTTGGAAGGAGGTGAAAGGCTTCTCATCTATGAATTTGTGCCAAACACAAGCCTTGATCATTTCATTTTTGGTATGTGCATGCCATTTAGATTTTGTTCTTGATTCAGATTTCAATTCTATTCATAAATAATTATATTTGAGTTTGCATGTTTGAAGGTGTTACACATTTATGTTCTAGTCATTTGCAAAGCCCTTGAACTGTTTAAATTCATATCCTACTTATTGATTAGTGACATACTCTCATATGAACTATATATATATATGAACATATAGATCCAATCAAGCGTGCACAATTAGATTGGGAAATCTGTTACAAAATCATCAAAGGCGTAGCTCGTGGCCTCCTTTACCTACATGAGGATTCTCGTCTTCGAATAATTCATCGTGATCTCAAAGCAAGTAATGTTTTATTAGATGAAGATATGAATCCTAAAATTGCAGATTTTGGAATGGCAAGATTAGTTGTAAGAGATGAAACACAAGGAAATACAAGCAGAATTGTGGGAACTTAGTAAGTATTAAAAAGAGTAAAACTTTGAATTGTTCTTTATACAAATATATATCCAATTAGCTTTGTTCCTTGTTGACAACATGAAAATACCAAAAATGGCTTTCTTATGTATTCCATTAAGAAAATATTAGAAAATGAGTTTATCATTTTTTATCTTGAAAATGATCCCATTGCTATTGATATACTTGCAGTGGGTACATGGCACCGGAGTATGCAATGCATGGGCAATTCTCAATAAAATCAGACGCTTTCAGTTTTGGAGTATTGCTTTTAGAAATCGTTAGTGGACAAAAGAATAGTTGTTTCCAAAATGGGGAGAACATAAAGGACCTACTAAGTTATGTAAGTATGACAATCAATACTTATTTTATGTTTCTTTCTTGTCTCGTGATAAATAAAAGTTCAAATTTTAACCGGTTCTCACTTTGATGCCTCGTGTGTGCTTTTGTAACCTTTTGTAGGCATGGAAAAGCTGGAAGGAAGGGACAGGATTAAATCTCCTAGATCCAACTTTGAGAAATGGTTCAATAGCTGAAATGATGAGATGCATCCATATTGGTTTGCTATGTGTTCAAGAAAATGTTGCTCATAGACCAACCATGGCTTCAGTTGTTCTCATGCTTAGTGACAATATAATTAGTCTCCCAGTGCCCTCTAAACCTGCATTTTTTGTGCACAACCCCATTGCATCAAACATGCCATCCTCATTTGGTCACAATTCATTGGTACAAGACTCGAGGAGAGCTGAGGAACAATTAGTCCCCTTGTCAAATAATGATGTTTCAATCACAGAGCTCTATCCTCGATAGTTTTTGAGATTCAAAGGTACAATTAGATTCATATTGTCAACCTAGTTCAAAATAATGCTAAAATTCACTTACTAGATGAATACTTCATTAAAACTTTTAAATACCTTGAAGTGTCACTTACTAGAGGTATGGGAAACTGAGCTAGAGTTTTTTTTAGCTCCCTTTTTGATAGATCAGATTATTGCTAAGTATTAAAGTGTCGACCCGAAGACTAATCTTGGGGTTTTGTGGGTTAATATGAAGAGAAGACTTTAGCTGAGTTGGCTCAGAGATTCATTGCAATTATATTAGTATTTTTGTGATGACATGAGGAAGTGAAATAAGTTTACAATTACAATTTTCATTGTAATCATAATATTGCAGTACATATTTATTTTAATTGTAACTTTATGATTTTATTTAGTTTTATAACTATAGTATTGTTAGGTAATAATATCTTTTTATATGTGAAATGAAATGTTGAATTGTCCTGTTGTTCTGGTTCTAGAAATGAAAATCTTTTGAGATGGATTTATGTTGAAACCCTGAAAGGGAAAGGCTACATAAAACTGTAAGTGGTTATGATGGTCCTTAAAATTTTAATTAGTGTAGACGTTGGTCCTTGAAGAATATATTTTTGTCCAAGATGATCAAATTTTAATAATAACACTAACATCTTTAAGTATTTTAATAATAATTTTTTAATAAAGATAATTATTTTAAATTCAAGTTGCATATGAATAAATAAAATAATATGAGATAATTATTTTTTATTACATGATAAAAAAAAAAAAAAATGGGAGAAGTCGATGAGACTGAAATGAGAACCGGCATTGAAGTCTGAACCATCTGCCTTCTGTTCTGGGGTAAGGCCATTGCAATTAGCTACCCTGTTACCTACTCTAGTTCTCATTTTTTAAAAAAATGAAAAAAAAGGTTTAAACTTTGCTGGCCCGCCTCATAGAAAGGAGAGGAAGTCCAAAATTGAAAATTCAGAATTTCCCTCTCAAAATCATGGCTTTTTCGTTTAACACTCACTCAATCAATCGTTGATTTGGGAAAATTTTATTAGGGTAAAGTCGTGCCTCTCCATCCTTAAGCAGAGTACCCACCAGCTTCTTGGATAACTGTTACGCTGCGTTTCCAGAGTTTCTTTCTCGAGGTAAACCCAAGTTTATCAACTTTCTCAGAAAACCCTCTTCACAAGGTACATTCTATTATTTTTACTGCATCAGGGATTCTCTGGTTTTGGGAAAGTTGAAATCTTTTGTAGTTTTTATTTCATAAACACAGTATTTTGCAACCCTAGCTTTCAAAGACGCTCAGACATGTATGTATGTTTTGTAATGTGCCTTTGTCTTTGTCTTTATATATGCAAAAATGCCCTTATTTTCTCCCTTAGTGGACTACGTACATTAATGCTCATTTTCACTGTATTTTTTTCTTTCTTTGGAAATACTGTGTTTGATTCTTTAGATATCTGGGTATTGAGATTTTGAATGCATGCCATGTGGGTTTTTTTTTTTTCCTAATATTTTCTTTGTAACGGTTCTATGTAAGGCTTTTTAGGTCTCTTCTTGGGTATAGGTTTTAGATGCATGATCAAAAGATGGAAGGGAAGAGACATGGGAGTTTTATTCACTTTTAAAACAAATGAAATTTCTAGTTGAACATTTGGATTGCTATCTCTCTGGTGGACAATTTTGCTTCCTATATTCCGATAAAAGAGCTGAATTCTTTCTTGTATGTTGTTTTAGTTATTGCAACAGAGGATATGCCTGTACGAAAGAATCAGAAGGTTTTGGATGGCTCTGATGTTGGTGATAGGGAAGATAGGATCAGCAAGCTGCCGAATGAGGTTCTTTCTCACATATTCTCATTTCTCCCAACAAAAGATGTTGTTAGAACTAGTATTTTGTCAAAAAGATGGAAATATTCGTGGACATCTTACCCCAATCTTGAGTTCACTGATCAGTTTACAATGACTAACGATATTGACTTCAACTGTAAGCTAGCCTGTTTCAAGGACTCTGTTGATCATGCTCTTTTTCATCATGCTGGATCGGCTATAGAAAAGTGTTCATTTCATTGCTATACAGAGTTTATTTCTCCATATTTGTATGCATGGGTTTGTGCTGTGTTAAGTTGTAATGTTCAAGAGTTATCCATCAAATCTAACCGTATCAAGGTTAATGAGTTGCCTCCAAGCCTTTTTACATGCAGAACTCTAGTTGTTTTGGAAATTGATGGGGCGTTTGTGCTGAACCTTCCTTTCCATATTTGCTTCCCATGCCTCAAAACTCTATCGCTTGAGTCTGTGATATATGGGGATGACTTCTCAATGCAAAGGCTCTTTTCTAGCTGCCCAGCTCTGGAGGACTTGGAAATACGCAGGAAAGGATGGGATGGTGTGTTGATCTCATCCATTTCGGTCCCTTCATTGAAAAGATTATCTATTTTCGTGTACTATATGAAGTCCATAGAAGGTTATGAGTACAAGATGGAGATCCATGCCCCCTGTCTTGAGTCCCTTGAGCTTGTTGATAGTGCATCAAAAGTGTTTGCAGTAAATTGCTCTAATTCTCTAGTTAAAGCAGATGTTGGTGGTACCTCTGGTCCAAAGATTCTTAAAGAAATCCCTCAGATTAGGGAGTTAGAATTATCTGGCAAGGCCTTCAGGGTACGTAACTACGTATGCTTTGCTTGACTTTGTGTGCTGATGAATTGATTTAAGCGTGATTGTCTTCTTTCCCTTTTGTTATGGTAAAATCTAAATTTTTATAACATTTACACAATTACATCCATTGATGCAGAGTCTTGGTAATGTTTCATCTTCCCCTCTGCCCATTTTTCATAATCTGACCCATTTGGAGCTAGGTGTTGATAGCACAGGGTGGAATTCTCTCTCAAATTTACTCGCAAGCACTCCCAATCTTGAAGTTCTTGTCTTTGCTGAGGCAAGTTGGGATATGACAGATGCTTAATTTTGAACTCAATCTTTACTTGATCAATGTATAATGAATTCTTGGGTTCTCCTTCACAGGGACTTTTAGCACCTGCAGAGTCTCGAAGTGGTTTCCATAGCTTCTATTGGGATCCACCAGAGTCCCCCCCTGAGTGCCTCCTACTGCATTTGAAGCAAATTGAAATATACGATTTTGTTGGGAGACCATGTGAGCGATTTCTCATAAGGTATTTGCTGGAGCATGGAGAAGTTCTGGACAATGTGAACATTTGCTGGCATGATTTTGGTCCAAGGGCCAGAATTAGGAAGGAGATGATAGAGTCCCACGATAAAATTTTAAGTTACTCTAGAGCTTCACCTACTTGTGAAGTTGAATTCTTCGAGGGCCTTTTGGACTAGTCTAGACCTTGAGACTGAGCTTTGAAAGTGTCGTGTGCGTCAGCCTTTTGGATTTTGAGCTACTCTGTGTCTGATGTAATCTGTTGACATGAAAGTTCAGCAAACTAGTATGTACCTTTTGTATGAAAGAGAAATATCGAAATTATTTCTTCCGTTCCTTGAATTCTTCGGAAGTGAATTTAAAAAAACATAAATGAATCACTTTAGTACGGTACTCAAAGAATACAATTATTTATTTATTTATTTATTTATTTTAAAAAAGAGGCAAACGAGCAAATAGTTCTTTGAAAATCCGAAGCGAAAAGGGTAAGGTATCTTGGTATGCGCTCTCCACTAGAGCTGAAGCTATAATTATCCCGTCTTCAAAGAAAAGAAAAGTTGAAGGCAAAGCAGGATCAATCAGTGGCATAGCTAAGGCTAAAGGTATCTCCATTATCCCCCGTCTTTTTTTTTCCCCTTTTCGATTAATATTCTTTTGAAATGTGTGAATGTCATATTCTTCTCTGTTACTAATAGTAGTAGTTTGCATGTTTTAGGGGCTTTTCTACTCTTACCGTTTGGAAGTGTTTGATTTGCGTATCATGTTTTTGGGTTTATCAGGGTTTTCGAAACCCAAGTTAAGTGCTAAAGATAGCTTCAAACGTAACAAGAATTTGAGGGTAGATGAGTTTTAACTTTGGTTTTTTAAGAATTATTGTCATAAACCCTAAATTGTTGTTTTCATTCAAATTTGATCCCTCCACACAGGAACTAGAAGTAAAAAACTAAGGTTGTAACTCACTTATGGAAAAAATGTTTTGCAGTTTGGATTGTACTATCTTAATCCCACTCTTTTTATCTTTTTTTAGTAAATGTATAATTCCTCTTACAAGGATATGGTAAAAGGTTGAGACTTGGACTGATAGTCTTGAAGATTGTTCAAGTTTATAGAAATTTTAGTTTTTGATTTTTTTTAAAAAAAAAATTGATGGTCTTTTCTAGGTTGGGGTAAAGATTTTTATTTAGTTTGCGAGGGCGGACAAAATCAGTAACTTACCAAATGAAGTTCTTTCTCAAACCATATCATGCCTTCCAATTAGAGCAGCAGTTCGAACATCAATACACTCAACAAGATGGAGGTACCTTTACACTTTACTTTCTAATCTTGATTTCGTGCTATGATGGCGAATCTGATGAGGATGATATTAATCGTGCGGAGTTGGATCAGCTCATGAATTTCATAGATAGGATATTATTTTCTAGCAATTATATCCATGTATAGATATGTCTCGGGTCAAGTGCTTTAATTATGTTCATGAGACTAGTTGGATTGATCGCTGGATTCATGCTCTAAAGCAGCGTGAAATTCAAAAGCTTGTACTAGACTTTTCTGAATATGGACACTAGTTTAGTCTTGAGACAATGGCAGACTATGGGGATTCCCTGTGCTTATGCCTGCCCTCTATTGTCTTTTCTTGCGAGGCATTGGTGGCTTTTGAAGTTGTATTTGAATTTGGACTATGATCTTGTTGATCTTAAAGTCCCAGCCAAGGTTTGCTTCCCAAGGCTTAAGGTTCTTTGCATTAGAGTTCCCTTTTCAAATGACGGTTCCTATAAAAGGTTTGATTTCTAGTTGTCCAATTCTTGAGGAGTTGGTTCTGAGTAAATGCTGCTTCTCTCAAGATTGTTTCAAATACAAATTATCTAATCCTACGCTCAAGAGACTAATCATTAGTGAAACAGCAAATTATCTATTTTCAGAAGAGGGTCCTAAGATTGTGATCGATGCCCCAAGTCTTGTCTTCTTCTTTTACAGTAACCGTGAATTACAGCCTCGTGTTTGTAGATGTGCAGTTTCTTGCCAAAGCAATCATTGTTCATGACTGCAGTTCGTTGTGTCCTATGGTTTATGATGCTACTCTGGTCAATCTGTTGGAAGAGATAAAAGGATGTTCAGTCCCTGCAAATATCCACTAGTACTCTACATGTAAGATTTTTTTTTTTTTTCTACCATGAATACACAACTGAAACAAATTGTGGGTGTTATAATTTTCAAATTGAGAGATCATTTTGTTCAACTAACAACAGCTTTCATCTTTCTTTTGCAGACCCTGCGATTCAATATGGTTCCTATCCCACCTCTTCGTAACATGACACATTTGACAATTACTGGTTTGGACTACTTTTGTGGCTCGCCTTGCTTTAAATACTTTCTTGCACATTGTAACGTTCTTGAAACTCTAGCCATAGAGGTGCAAAAATTCGTGCACAATTCATTTTTTCTCTTCTAGGCTCTAGCCAATGCATAGTTACATTACACTGATGAATGGTTATGTTTTGTGATCAGGTTCTTCCCAGAGTGTTTGACATTGATATCGAGGTATGAATTTCGTATGTAATTCATATTTTTTCTAATCGTTGAGGTATAATTTGAAAAATAACTCAAATGTCTTGCAGCCTATACAGCAAGTAACTATTACAATTGGTTGTGTTATGTATGTTTTTTTTTTTGATCAGGGACTTCCAAGAAAG